CTCCCGCTCGATTTGAAGCCACTAGAATTTATGCGTATAGATACGTCAAACACGGTATCTCCATGACGTACATATACGACCGCGACAGTCAAAGGGTTAATAGGATATTCAATTCTCTTGTATTCATTGTAAGTCCTAAATTTATACTTACACTCACCAAAGTTAACTATCCACAACCTTCCACCTCAGTTAACTATCCACAACCTTCCACCTCAGTTAAAATATCCACAACCTTCCACCTCAGTTAACTATCCACAACCTTCCACCTCAGTTAACTATCCACAACCTTCCACCTCAGTTAACTATCCACAACCTTCCACCTCAGTTAACTATCCACAACCTTCCACCTCAGTTAACTATCCACAACCTTCCACCTCAGTTAACTATCCACAACCTTCCACCTCAGTTAACTATCCCCAACCTTCCACCTCAGTTAACTATCCACAACCTTCCACCTCAGTTAACTATCCACAACCTTCCACCTCAGTTAACTATCCACAACCTTCCACCTCAGTTAACTATCCACAACCTTCCACCTCAGTTAACTATCCACAACCTTCCACCTCAGTTAACTATCCACAACCTTCCATCTCAGTTAACTATCCACAACCTTCCACCTCAGTTAACTATCCACAACCTTCCACCTCAGTTAACTATCCACAACCTTCCACCTCAGTTAACTATCCACAACCTTCCACCTCAGTTAACTATCCACAACCTTCCACCTCAGTTAACTATCCACAACCTTCCACCTCAGTTAACTATCCACAACCTTCCACCTCAGTTAACTATCCACAAGCTTCCACCTCAGTTAACTATCCACAACCTTCCACCTCAGTTAACTATCCACAACCTTCCACCTCAGTTAACTATCCACAACCTTCCACCTCAGTTAACTATCCACAACCTTCCACCTCAGTTAACTATCCACAACCTTCCACCTCAGTGCAGTAGGACCACAGTATCCCTCATCACTTTTTCAAATTCATCGACATTCACCAGGAACCAAAATTTAAGGCAAATATTATTTATCTAACATTTGTAGATGTCAGTGGAGACATCATGTCTAAGGGCAATGTGTGGTGTGAATATAATGCAGAGAATTCATAGTTTGGAAATTAGGAGGAGGTGCAAGATTACCAAAACTATTATCCAGAGGGCTGAGGAGGGGGATGTAGAGGCAGTTCAGACATGTAGACAGGATGGAATGAAGTAGAATGACTTTGAGAGTGTATATATCTGTAGTGGAGGGAAGGTGGGGTAGGGGTCAGCCTAGGAAATGTTGGAGGGAGGGGGTAAAAGGAGGTTTTGTGCATGAGGGGCTTGGATTTCCAGCAAGCATATGTGAGCAAGTTAGATAGGAGCAAATGGAGACAAATGGTTTAAGGACTTGACGTGCTGTTGGAGTGTGAGCAAAAGTAACATTTATGAAGGGGTTCAGGGAAACTGGCAGGCCAGACTTGAGTCCTGGAGATGGGAAGTACAGTGCCTGCACTCTGAAGGAGAGGTGTTAATTACCTGGAGTTTACCTGGAGAGAGTTCCGGGGGTCAACGCCCCCGCAGCCCGGTCTGTGACCAGGCCTCCTGGTGGATCAGAGCCTGATCAACCAGGCTGTTGCTGCTGGCTGCATGCAAACCAACGTACAAGCCACAGCCCAGCTGATCAGGAACTGACTTTAGGTGCTTGTCCAGTGCCAGCTTGAAGACTGCCAGGGGTCTGTTGGTAATCCCCCTTATGTGTGCTGGAGGCAGTTGAACAGTCTCGGGCCCCTGACACTTATTGTATGGTCTCTTAACGTGCTAGTGACACCCCTGCTTTTCATTGGGGGATGGTGCATCGTCTGCCAAGTCTTTTGCTTTCATAGTGAGTGATTTTCGTGTGCAAGTTCGGTACTAGTCCCTCTAGGATTTTCCAGGTGTATATAATCATGTATCTCTCCCTCCTGCATTCCAGGGAATACAGGTTTAGGAACCTCAAGCGCTCCCAGTAATTGAGGTGTTTTATCTCCGTTATGCGCGCCGTGAAAGTTCTCTGTACATTTTCTAGGTCGGCAATTTCACCTGCCTTGAAAGGTGCTGTTAGTGTGCAGCAATATTCCAGCCTAGATAAACAAGTGACCTGAAGAGTGTCATCATGGGCTTGGCCTCCTAGTTTTGAAGGTTCTCATTATCCATCCTGTCATTTTTCTAGCAGATGCAATTGATACAATGTTATGGTCCTTGAAGGTGAGATCCTCCGACATAATCACTCCCAGGTCTTTGACGTTGGTGTTTCGCTCTATTTTGTGGCCAGAATTTGTTTTGTACTCTGATGAAGATTTAATTTCCTCATGTTTACCTTATCTGAGTAAGTGAAATTTCTCATCGTTGATCTTCATATTGTTTTCTGCAGCCCACTGAAAGATTTGGTTGATGTCCGCCTGGAACCTTGCAGTGTCTGCAATGGAAGACACTGTCATGCAGATTCGGGTGTCATCTGCAAAGGAAGACACGGTGCTGTGGCTGACATCCTTGTCTATGTCGGATATGAGGATGAGGAACAAGATGGGAGCGAGTACTGTGCCTTGTGAACAGAGCTTTTCACCGTAGCTGCCTCGGACTTTACTCTGTTGACGACTACTCTCTGTGTTCTGTTAGTGAGGAAATTATAGATCCATCGACCGACTTTTCCTGTTATTCCTTTAGCACGCATTTTGTGCGCTATTACGCCATGGTCACACTTGTCGAAGGCTTTTGCAAAGTCTGTATATATTACATCTGCATTCTTTTTATCTTCTAGTGCATTTAGGACCTTGTCGTAGTGATCCAATAGTTGAGACAGACAGGAGCGACCTGTTCTAAACCATGTTGCCCGGGGTTTTGTGTAACTGATGGGTTTTCTAGATGGGTGGTGATCTTGCTTCTTAGGACCCTTTCAAAGATTTTTATGATATGGGATGTTAGTGCTATTGGTCTGTAGTTCTTTGCTGTTGCTTTTACTGCCCCCTTTGTGGAGTGGGGCTATGTCTGTTGTTTTTAGTAAAATGTGGGACGACCCCCGTGTCCATGCTCCCTCTCCATAGGATGGAAAAGGCTCGTGATAGGGGCTTCTTGCAGTTCTTGATGAACACAGAGTTCCATGAGTCTGGCCCTGGGGCAGAGTGCATGGCATGTCATTTATCGCCTGTTCGAAGTCATTTGGCGTCAGGATAACATCGGATAGGCTTGTGTAATCAAATTTTGTGGCTCTCTCATAAAAAATTCATTTTGATCTTCGATTCTCAGTCTGGTTAGCGGCTTGCTAAAAACTGAGTCATAGGGACTTGAGTATTTCACTCATTTCCTTGCTGTCATCTGTGTAGGACCCATCTTGTTTAGTGGGGGCCCCAAATTTACTGGACTTGTTCTCGACTTTGATTTGGCATAGGAGAAGAAATACTTTGGGTTTCTTTCGATTTCATTTATGGCTTTTAGTACTTCCCGCGATTCCTGATCCTAAAGGATTCTTTTAGCTTAAGTTCGATGCTTGCTATTTCTCTGACCAGTGTCTCCCTACACATTTCAGATATATTGACCTTTTTTAGCCGCTCTGTTTTATAAACTGTAAGTAGGCGCGCCTCTGGCAAGACCGTGAGGGGAGTAAAAGATGCAGTTTTTCTTTTATTCGGGCCGCCCCGCCGCCCCGCCTTGGTGGGGAGAGAGCCGATGTGTTAATATAATATAAAATTTGTAGCTTTAAGCAATGTACATATTAAACATACATCATAATACACAAAATGGTATACATGACCATAATTTTTTGAAGGGGTGGACTGGTAAGCCAGCGAAGGCTTCAGTCAGATGGCCAAAAGCTCCAAAGGCGGGTCATCATCGGACAATGACCCGCATCAGGAAACATTTGTCCTGTTTCCTGACGAACCTTACCTAACCTAACCATACAACAATGATAGACAACTACAATTAAAACTTTTTTTTTTTTTTTTTTTACAATTTTGAGACAAACAAATTATTTAGTAATTTTTGGGGGTCCATGGAACGTAACCTTTTTTCCATATGTTTTTTAGTTTTGGATGTCATTTTCAAGAATGAACAATCATCTTGATTGACAGTGAACTGTATATATATTCTGTGAGATAAGTATTTTCTTACTAGTTTTTGTTTATTTCCTCTTATCTCCATGGGTAAGTGAAACAGAATTTTTCCCTCCGTAAGCCATGTGTCTCATAAAAGGCAACTAACATGCGGGAGCAAGAGGCTAGTAGCCCTTCTCCTGTATACATTATTTAAAACCCTTAAACCCCGTAAACGGTCCAAACGTATATATACGTTTTTCAACATTTGAAAGTATGTAAAAAAAGTAGATCTTCTTGTTTTTTTACATTGAAAATGTGTAAAAAAAACGTAGATCTACTTTTGTAGCACTACACGTGTGGAACGTAGTTTCTGCTTGGACTGTTTTACGGGTTAAACTGTCCAAACTTAGTCTACGTTTGCATACACAAATAACCCGCACATAAAAGACAGAAGCTTATGACGACGTTTCGGTGACTTTGTCAATGGTCCAAGTCGGACCGAAACGTCGTCGTAAGCTTCTGTCTTTTATGTGCGGGTTATTTGTGTATCGTTCCAGTCACGGTATTGTGCCTTTTTGTTATTTACGTTTGCATACGTAGCACTCCGACCTTGATTTTTTGCATAAGAAATAATGTAGATAAAAGTAGATCTATGTTTAGAGCGCTACGCAAGCAAACGTAGATCTACGTTTGGACAAGCTAAAGAGAAACTTTAGCTTTTCTGTTTTGGGGCCACCCTGCTTCTGTGGGATAAGCCGGTTGATGACAGAAGCAAGAAGAAAGTATGTTTAAATAAGTAATTTCTGCTATTTTGCTAGTTTTTTTTACCCCATGACTTAGGTCTGCTTTTAAAATACTTTTCATAAATATAGGCTTTTCCATGTCTGAAACCTTAGTGTCGCATGTGACGTAATGGAAAGTATAACTTTTTTTTTTTTTATTCTCCAGGTCATCCTTGTACCAGAGGAAGTCAGACTGAAAGAACAACACTGCAGGATATCCTTGTACAGGAAGAATATAACTTGTAGTTACAGTACTGCAAGTCAGACTGAAAGGAGCAACACTGCAGGATATCTTTGCACAGAAAAATATAACTTGTAGTTACAATACTGCAAGTGACACTGAAAGGAACACTGCAGGATATCCTTGCACAGGAAGAATATAACTTATAGTTACTACAAGGCACACTGAAAGGAACAGCACTGCAGGATATCCTTTATTTACAGTGCCCACACCAGTGTCATAAAGCTTATGTAAGTGATGTAAATACTTTTACACCCTCACCCTTAACAGCCTGTCAACATTTTCCAGTCAGATTTTGTTATACATTGAATATTCTGTGATTTCACGAAGATCCTTTTCATAAAATATTATACGTTGACTATAATTGAAATGAATTGGGGCTGAAGTTTTAAACAGTTACCTCATAATAATAATTGATAATTATTTGGGTTTTTGTAATTTTTTAACACCTGATCTCTCAAGACACAGAAAATGCATTATTCAGATTCATTTTTCTGAAAAAGTTCAATATTGATTAAAATTTTTCACTGTGCATCAACATTACACTTGTTCATTGTATTTTTGGTATTATGTGGATGGTACTGTATGTGACCATTGTATACTAGTAATGAATAACTGCTATCGGGGGTGTGGAAGTTGTTGTGTGATTTTTGTGCAGTAATAACAATAACCACTTTATTAAGTAACTCCCAATTTGCTTTATTCTTCCCCACCTCGTTTATTTCATCCTTCTGTTCTATCTCACTGTCAGAATACCCATATTAAATAATACTCCCAGTTATATTAATTTTGAAACAACTTCATTTTTTCTCCATAATAGTCTTGACTTTCTAAACCCTTGTAGCCTATGGTAACCCTTAGGGTTTAGCACTATTTTTTATTAGAATAATATTAATGTAGCCCCATGGTGTCCGACATTAAAGTTGCAGTTATTACTGAACGGGTACATTGTCAAGGGTATGTGCCATGTCATGACCATATAGACATTATTACAGCATTTGAAAATGATATATCATCAATGGTAACTTGATTCAATTTTTAAATATACTACTCATTTTCTAACCAAATTTGAACTTAATTTGTGTTTAACATAAATATTGTTTTACTTGCAGTAAGATCATTAACAAAATGTGTATTATTGCCTTGTAAGTTATTTCAGTGTAGGTATAGCGTGAGTGTTTAGGAATCATCATGTCTGTACTAGAGAAAAACAATTTGGTGTTTTGTGACTTGAAGATTTTTACATTTTTTTCAAATATGAATGAGAGTTTGAACAAATTATAACTTGTATCAGTATGTATTTTTCCAAAATAGTTGTGAAAGTTTTAATATAAACTTCGAAAATTACTTTCAGTACTAGAGAACCGTTCCATGGAGGAACTTTGCGGCTGGTGAATAAATGAAGTTCTGTGATTCATGGAATCACCTCTCTTGTTTCCCGGGCACTATTCATCCCTTGGACATTTAAATGGTAAATGTGTTTAGGGAACTATGGGTGCACAGTGTAAATATTTATAAAAAAAAATTCTAGCATAGCCGTTCATAATTCATATTGAAAATTAGGTCATTGTTCAGTATGTCTAAAATACTTGAAAAAGAATGTGTGTATGAAACACAAAATGTGATTCACCCAGAGAATAAGAAAAATAAATATTCACAGAGTTTGAAAGACTTCAGACGAAAATCTCAGCCTCAATCACCTGTGAAAATTCAGAATGGCAAAAAAGCACTTCAGTGTCTGGTGTGTGAAAAATACTTTTTCAAAAAATATCATCTAGTATCACATACAAAAATTCATACTGGTGAGAAACCTTATCAGTGTTCTAAGTGTCTAAAAGCGTTCTCACACAAATCTAGTTTATCAAGGCATGAGAGAATTCACACAAAAGAAAAACCATATCAGTGTTCACAGTGTCTAAAAGACTTTGCTCAAAAATATGATTTGAAAAAGCATACAAGAATTCATACTAAAGAGAAACCATATCGATGTTTGGAGTGTCTTAAGACCTTTTCTCAAAAATCTGATTTAAAAACACACATGAGGTTTCATACTAGAGAGAAACCCTTTCAGTGCTTAGCATGTCTAAAAGCCTTTTCAGACAAATCAAGTTTATTAAAGCACATAAGAATTCACACTGGAGAGAAACCATATCGGTGCCCAGAGTGTCTAAAAGCCTTTTCGCAAAAATCTAATTTAAATAACCATATGAGAATTCATACTGGAGAGAAACCATATCAGTGCTCAGAGTGTCTAAAAGCCTTTTCCAAAAAAATATATTTAATTAGCCATATGAGAATTCATACAGGAGAAAAACCATATCAATGCCCAGAGTGTCTAAAAGCCTTTTCCCAAAAATTTTATTTAAAGAGTCACATGAGAATTCATACTGGAGAGAAACCATATCAGTGTTCAGTGTGTCTAAAAGACTTTTCCCAAAAAAATTATTTAGTTAAGCACATGAGAATTCATACTGGGGAAAAACCATATCAGTGTTCTGATTGTCTGAAAGACTTTTCCCAAAAATCTCATTTGCTTACTCACATGAGACGTCATACTGCAGAGAAACCACATTAGTGTTCGGTGTCTGAAAGACTTTTCCCAGAAATCTCAGTTAACCCTTAAACTGTCCAAACGTAGATCTACGTTTATGTGTGTAGCGCTCCAACTTCGATTTTCTCCATTTGAAAGCATGTAAAAAAAAAAAATAACATAGATCTACATTTGGACAGTTTAAGGGTTAAAAAATAAATGTTATAGTTTATAATGTTCGGAAACCTTATCAGAGTGTGTTAGTCTTTTCACAGAAATCGTATTTAATAAATTGCAAAAATTTATACCAGATAAAAACCATAGTGTTCATTATGTTTAGTGGACTTTATCCCCCCCCAAAAAAATACTTGAATAAAACACCTAAAATTTCATACTGGAGAGAAACCATATCAGTGTTCAGAATGATAAATTTGACATGTGAAACACTTGTATATTTTTATTGTGGAAATATTTCACCACACAGTAGCTTCATCAGTTCACTACAAAGAAGAATGATGAAGATCAGAAGGAATTTGAGGTAATGAGTCCCTCAGCTTGGAGTCTGTATAGTCATTTTATTTATTTATTTATTTATTTATTTATTTATTTGGACATGATACATAGATCCATCAATATTGTGAAGAATACAGCTTATGTGCAAAGAAGAGGCGTATATTCTGCAGACAAATGAGGTGAAGCAATTGTAGGTGTTGTCATCTTGGACAAATCATTAGATGGAAGTAGGTTATGCCTATAGGTTAGGCAAGGGTAGAATTCCCTGTATCAAGATCCCAAGATGTTGCCGTGTCTGGCTGGGTCTTGATACAGGGAATTCTACACTTTCCTAACTCTATAGGCATAGCCTACTTCCACCTGTGGATTTGTTCAAGGTGACACTGTCTACGACTGCCTCACCTTGCTTGTCTGCAGTATACAAGCCCCTTCCTTGCACATGTGCCGTATTCTTATCAAAATTGATTACATAGACTCCAGGCTGAGAAACTGATTACTGCAAATTCCATTTGATCTTCACTATTCTTCTTTCCATTGAGCTGATGAATCCACTGTGTGGCAAAATGTTTCCACAATAAAGATACCCCAATGTTTTATATGTGTCTAATTTATCAATGTGTCACTTCTCTGAATATTCATAAGACTTTCAAGATAAATCTTTGATAAACACTTCACAGTTCGTAAAAGTTAGAAGTTGCATCATTGTATATATTTCTGGAAGATTTCTTTCAAAAACAAGTACAGTGGAACCTCTGGTCACGGACGCTTCTGAACACGAACAAATTGGTTCACGACCAAAAAATTTGCCAAATTTTTGCATCTGGTCACGAATACATAATCAGGTGCCGAACAAACACAGCCACCCCAATTTTCACATACTGTGCCATTTTTTTTGCACATGCCAATTTTCTCCACTTCCTGTTGTTTGTGTACACCTAACATAAACTCTCGCCTTGTAGTTGGTCTTGGTCAGATGTGTGTTCATTCGCTGTGAACTTGAGGATATAGGATAAAGTACCATCCTCTTATCCCCTTCTGGGTACTTAGAGAAAATGTAGTGTAGCATAGTGTTAACTGTGATATATTCATAATGCACCATAAAACTAACTTTATTCAGGTACAGTAGGGCCCCATTTATATGGCAGGTTAGGTTCCAGGCTACCGCCATAAAGCAGAAATTGCCGTAAAGTGGAACACCATTTTCTTCCACTTGTGAATGTATATAAATGCTAGATAACAGGTTTGCACTAACATATATTGAGTTAGCAAAAGAACTAGGTGTTAAAAAACACATTGAAAGGTAAAATACACACACTACACATGTTACCCTAAAATATTAATATGAATGTGTGAGAGGTGAGTGGCAGTGTAAAGTTTTTCCATGTCAGCAATAAGTCATTTTGTCTGACTTTTTTGGGTTATCCCAGGTTCTTTACACATGTGCTGCTATATGTTTACCTGGAGAGAGTTCCGGGGGTCAACGCCCCCGCGGCCCGGTCTGTGACCAGGCCTCCTGGTGGATCAGAGCCTGATCAACCAGGCTGTTGCTGCTGGCTGCACGCAAACCAACGTACGAGCCACAGCCCGGCTGATCAGGAACTGACTTTAGGTGCTTGTCCAGTGCCAGCTTGAAGACTGCCAGGGGTCTGTTGGTAATCCCCCTTATGTGTGCTGGGAGGCAGTTGAACAGTCTCGGGCCCCTGACACTTATTGTATGGTCTCTTAACGTGCTAGTGACACCCCTGCTTTTCATTGGAGGGATGGTGCATCGTCTGCCAAGTCTTTTGCTTTCGTAGTGAGTGATTTTCGTGTGCAAGTTCGGTACTAGTCCCTCTAGGATTTTCCAGGTGTATATAATCATGTATCTCTCCCTCCTGCGTTCCAGGGAATACAGGTTTAGGAACCTCAAGCGCTCCCAATAATTGAGGTGTTTTATCTCCGTTATGCGCGCCGTGAAAGTTCTCTGTACATTTTCTAGGTCGGCAATTTCACCTGCCTTGAAAGGTGCTGTTAGTGTGCAGCAATATTCCAGCCTAGATAGAACAAGTGACCTGAAGAGTGTCATCATGGGCTTGGCCTCCCTAGTTTTGAAGGTTCTCATTATCCATCCTGTCATTTTTCTAGCAGATGTGATTGATACAATGTTATGGTCCTTGAAGGTGACATCCTCCGACATGATCACTCCCAGGTCTTTGACGTTGGTGTTTCGCTCTATTATGTAACTGCATTTGATGGCTATCTCAGCCATCGACATACTTTGTTAGTAAGTTTATTCAGGTATACATAAATACAGTTACATAGATTATAATACATATGTGTAGAGAACCTAGGATAACCCAAAAAAGTCAGTTCACTAAGTTTAATCATTTCTAGCATGGCACTTCAGGTCACTTGTTCTATCTAGGCTGGAATATTGCTACACACTAACAGCACATTTCAAGTCAGGTGAAATTGCTGACCTAGAAAATGTACAGAGAACCTTCATGGCACGCATAACGGAGATAAAACACCTCAATTACTGGGAACACTTGAAGTTCCTGAACCTGTACTCCGTAGAATGCAGGAGGGAGAGATTCATGATTATATACACCTGGAAAATCCGAGAGGGACTAGTACCGAACTTGCACATGAAAATAACTCCCTACGAAAGCAAAAGACTCAGCAGACGGTGCAACATCCCCCAATGAAAAGCAGGATTACCAATAGACCCCTGGCTGTCTTCAAGCAGGCACTGGACAGGCACTGGACAGGCACCTAAAGTCAGTACCTGACCAGCCGGGCTATGGTTCGTATGTTGGATTACATGCGGACAGCAGTAACAGCCTGATTGATCAGGCCCTGATCCACCATGAGGCCTGGTCACAGAATGGGCCGTGGGGGGTGTTGACCCCCAGAACTCTCCAGGTAAACTCCAGGTATCTAGGTTTACTTAAAGTAAGAGGCTTATGACAACTAAGGTTAGATGCCTTCGTCAATGACAGCCAACTTGTTAACGAAATAGTAAACGAGATAGAATGAAATACACGGAGTTCAGAGAATGTAAAAACACAAACTGAACAGGTGGTGGGTGATCACTCGGTCAGGCAAAATAAACATGTACAGTGGACCCCCAGTTTACGATATTATTTCATTCCAGAAGTATGTTCAGGTTCCAGTACTGAACGAATTTGTTCCCATAAGGAATATTGTGAATTAGATTAGTCCATTTCAGACCCCCAAACATACACGTACAAATGCACTTATATAAATACACTTACATAATTGGTCGCATTGGGAGCTGATCGTAAACCGTGGGTCCACTGTATTCTTACATTGTGTACAAGTTGTAAAAGTTAATACAGAAGAATAAATAAACAGCAACGCTCCCATTCTAATGCAATGCACCATTTTTAAGAGTGAATGACGATATTATTATTAGCATTGTTATTATTATTATTATTATTATTATTATTATTATTATTATTATTATTATTATTATTATTATTATTGTTCTTTCAACAAACCGGCAATATTCCACCGAGGCAGGGAGGCCCCCCCCCCAAAAAAATAGTTTGTCTTTTTAAATTTAGTAACTTACACACTAGAAGGGGCTACTAGTACCTTGCTCCTGGAATTTTAGCCACCTCTTACAACATGCATGGCTTACGGAGGAAGAATTCTGTTCCACTTCCCCATGGAGAATTATTATTATTATTATGATCATAATAAAAAAGAAGTGCTAAACCTATAAGGGTCATGAATAGCTATAGAGTGAAGGCATATGAAAAGAATACTTTTCTACAGTTATCCCCCAGTAGCTGGTATTGGACTAGAGAAAACGTAATTCTTCCGACATTTCTACAAGCAGCTTGGTGGGTGTATGTTAATGTTTGTGTTATGTAACGTGTTTCTTATATAATTTTGAAAAAAAATATCATAGATGGAGTAATGGAAATGTCTATATTAACGTAATATACAACATTTAATGAGCCCAAGTGATTATTATTATTATAATTATGGTATCTTCAAGAGTAGAGAGACTCATAGTGATTTTAGTGTACCTGCACGCCAGCACAGTGTGTAAGTATATTTAGGTACAGGTACACATAAGTATAATATCAGAGTACATATATATAAAATGTGCAATAACCTTCAAACACTTGAAATTTTGGAAAGTTTCCAGACATAATAGAGAGATTTTCTCATGGAGAATATAAACAAACTGGGCGGGGTGCGGTGACAGTATTAGAAAGACAGGCGGGGGAGCTGTATAGCGAGTTTTGGTCATAATTTGAAATGTCTGTATTAGCGGAACGCCGTAAAGCTGGCCCTACTGTATACGCAAATACAGTTACATAGATTATATGTAATCTGTGTAACTGTATATGTGTATACCTGAATAAACTTACTTGGTTTTATGGTGCATTACAAATGTGTATCATGGTTAGCACTGGACTACACTACATTTTCTCTAATATCAGTACTCAGGAAGGGATAAGAAGGTACTGGCCAACAACCAAAATGGTTCTGAGACCAAAGTAGCAATTTCCAACTAATTTTAGGTCACTGATAATAAATATCATGGTTAAAATTGTTCATTAGCTCTACTTTTCAGTATACACCTACGTGTCACAATGGTTCCAACAGGCTTGTGGCAGTGTGTTTCTTGCCACACTCACAGTCTCACTGACCTTCATCATTGTTCCAACAGTCATAGAAGGTGGTTGTGCTGTGCAAGTTCATATTTTGAGGTGAAAGGTAGGTGATTATCTTAGCCAAACACTTTTTAAACTTACAATAAATATGTGAATGGGACAGCTGTACAAGAGGTTCCCACTACATCAGGAGAGACTGGCCACCTCATCAATCATTGGAGCCTGGGTTGAAAAATGTTCAACATCCACCTCTCTTTCAACCAAGCAAAATTTTCCTACCACCACTACACACAAAACTGGGGCTCATAAAAACCAAAAAAAGCTATGGACAAATCCAGTCAGGGATTTAAGTATTTAACATCACAATTCCCCTCACTGAGCAATGCTAAGATAAGAGACGGAGTCTTCAATGGTCCTCAGATTCGAGAGCTTAAAGATGGTGACTTTGAATCAGACCTTCATGGGGAGGAGAAAGCTGCTTGAGAAGCATTCAAGTTAGTGGTGAAGGGATTTCTCGGAAACAGAAAGGAAGGCAACTATGAAGAATTGGTAGAAAACCTCATCAAGGCTTACAGGAACATGGGATGTAACATGCCACTTAAAATCCACTTTTTGGACTCACATTTAGACTTTCCAGTAAACTGTGGGGCAGTTAGTGGCGAACATGGTGAAAGGTTTCACCAAGATATTTCAACCATGGAAAAATGGTACCAGGACAAATGGGGCACAAGAATGCTTGCAGACTATGGCTGGATATTGTCAAGAGATGATTCTTTAGCCCACTGTAAGCATCAAGCAAAGAGG